AGACAGGGTGAGGATAGGGGAGCAGCCATGTAGTCAAAAATGGGCATATCTGGATAGTTATACTCATAAAATATAGATATGAACAAATTAACCAAAAATAAGTTTCTTGAACCAAAAAGGTCTCTGCCAACATATGATAAAATTAAACATTTATTAAGAGATTTTGAAGTAGATCACTGTTAAGATTTGTCCAAACTGGAAAACTTCCTAATAAAATCATCCAGCCATATAAGCAATTATTAGGGTACTCTCGGTAGGTAGCCCACACAAAAATGCTGATTCCCACATTATATGTGGAATTTTTATAGCTTATTCGTGGATAAAAAATAGCTTAAAATATTTTCAGGAACTTGTTCCTTTTTTCAGAAAGAATTGTGGTTAATTTTCATTTTGTTTTGCTCCCTGACCTCTAGTTGGCTTATAAGCTATTAAGTGATATTCAAATAATGCGTTTGGGGTATAGGAATTGTTATGCATCTAATTTGCATAAAAGCATTGAACATGGTGTTGAAATTTGTTAGTTATTGGCCATTGTTTTCTTTAGTGGCCAATGGCTCTGTTTATTTAAAACAAAACTCTTGCCTCCTATTTAGTATTTCAGGATACGTTAGTGATGCATTAGTAATGTAGTTAGGATGTTGTTATTTTTTAGACTCGGTTAAATTAAGAAAAGAAGAGTGTAGTCATGCAAGCTAAATTTAGTAAATATATGTGTAGAACTAAAATGTAAGTAGTTGGCATAATTTGAAGAGTTGACTGCAAATTTATACTTGAATGTTTTCACTTGAAATGTATAAGATAGTCAAAAAATATATATTTTTTACAGACCATCCTCCTTTCACTGAAATTTTAAAATTTGTGAGAGGAAAAATTTCATCTGAGTCTTTAAGCAAAGGGGCAAATATAAGGACTAGTTATAATTTGGTTGGGCTTAAAATTCCAATTAGGTTCAACCAAATGTTTAAAAGAAATGGCTTCTTAAGTATCTACACAGCAAATCATTGAATGTTTTGTTCAATGTTGCTTGGGTATAACATTGATGAGAGAAAAAATCAGTTCCTGGCTAGGGCCACCATCTGCGTGGAATTTGCACATTCTTCCCATGCCTTTGTGGGTTTTCTTCGGGGACTCCTGTTTCTTCCCACACCCCACAGATTCGCACATGACGTGAACTGGAATGTCTAAATTGTCCCAGTCCAAGTGAGTATGTGTGTAGGTGTGAGTGTGCTCTGCGATGAAAGATGTCCTGTCCAGGGTAGGTACCTGCCTTGTATCCAGAGCTGCCGGGAGAGGCCCCAGGCACCCAGAACTGGAATAAATGGGTTGGAAAAATCATTATCTTACTTGTTCTTATTAATTGTTCTTAAATGTGTGTATAATTCATATTTATTTCAATATTTGATATTAGAAGTGTTTTGGGTCTTTATTTAGAGGTTTGCTGCTATTTTTGTTACCAGAAGTATGCCACAGGAACTTAACTCTTATTTATATCAATTAGTCTATGGCAAAATTGATTTTGTTATAGAACCTATAGACAACTTTAAGTGAGGCTTTACTGTACAATGACAGAAAGAAGTTGTGGCTGATTAGAATATATAGCACAGATATAACTCTAGAGTTAGATACATTAAAAAATGGATCTATAACTGTCCTTCCTTGGAGGCTTAAATTAGACTTAAAAGATTTAAAGATAGGCGAGAATCAACTTTTGTGCCATTAAGACATGGAAAATGAGTCTTGTGATCATACAGGAATAATTCGAGGCTTATTCAAAATTATCGAAACCTGTCACAATTCATATTTTGACTTAACCAATTTGAAATACAATTTAGAAGGAAGGAAGGTGATTTGAAAGTTAAAAGTAATTAATTCAGGAATTCTACATTGCTTAGATGAAGATCTGGGGTTGGCATTGTGATGCTTTTCATGAACCTTACCTGAATAAACGTTAATTTATAATTTGACACCTAAGCTTGTCTCTGACATTGGGGAGAATTGGGGTTACTTTTCATTAATAATGAAATCTAGACGGAACTGCATGGACCACATTTTTCCTTGACTGACTGAGGAGAAAAATGGATGGCAACTCTACAGAAGAGACACAAGCAATCAAGGCATTTTGGTGGGCAGGGCCCAGTGGTGTTGGAATGAAGGAAAGGCACACACACCAAAGCATCTGTCCTACAACTTCGGAGTTGGAAGTGCCACTGTCTCCCAGAGTGTGTAGGGAGTTCTATAGCTCTCAGGATATTCCTTAGAGACAGCTGCAGAGAATAAAGGGGCTGCCCGATGGGTGGGACTTTGGGCACTGAACACTGTCCACAACCAGGGAGGGCCCATCTGATTAATATATTTGGATCCTGTATAAGATTTTGTGTGAAAAAAGACTCCACTGTATGACATAACAATGTCTTAAAGTCATTGTAGCAGAAACCCTCTTCCCCTCTACTTCCAGTAGCATTACTGCAGAATTATGAGAAGAAAGAGCTAAGGACGGATGCTCATGAGCTAGTCTCATGCATGCATTGCATTTTTTTCAACAAATATTTGCATCTATTAAATACCAGCCAACGTGCTTCATCAATATTGCAGAGTGGCTAAAATGAGCAACATGGCAACCTGAAAATGGATACTGGTTTACCTCTCAGTTGGAGTAAAATGATTTAATAACAATTTGCACATGATAACTTTTTAATATGCTCAGCATGTATTCCAAACAGAATTATCAAGAACTGACAAACTTTCCTTTTCTACCCACAACACTGAACTAGATTTGGGTAACTGAATAATAAGAAAGGTTAACCCTTTGCAATTGTATTTTAAAAGATATTTGCTGTGTTCCAAAAGGAGAGACAAAGGCTAATACAGTGGGAACTGATGGCTTGAGGAAGCAGAGGAAAAGTAAACCCACTCCTTGGAACTCTGTCCCTTGTTTGTTAGAGAGGAGGCAGTGATGCCTGCAATGGGAGCTGTAGCCAGGCCCAGCACTGGAGCATATGGGGCTCATAGAAAACAGTGAATGTACACTGCTACGCTCCAGAACATTCTGGTGTATTCCAGCATTCTAAGGCTTGTATCCTCATGGTTAAGATCCCAAGGCAGAGCAAAGGTTCTGAAGCCTCATTTTAGAGAGCTAACTTAAATTCCTGGCTTCTAAGCTGTCTTTCCTACTGAAAGTTGACCAAGAGAGGAATTTAGTTTCCCATGACTTCACTCTGAAGTGATCTCCTTGCTTACTTAGGATGTTGGAAGTAAGGTTATCAAGTCATCTAGGTTTACCCAGGACTTTCCTGGTTTTAGCACTGAAAGTCCCATGTCCTGGAAAACTCTTCATTCTCAGGTAAACTGGAGTGAATAGTCATCCTAAGGAAACAAGAGTCAGGTGAATAGACTGGGTATTTCAGTAACAAACCATCACAAAATTTAGTGGCTTAAAACAACTATCATGTCCTTTGCTCGCCACTCTGTGCTCTGAGTGGGGTTAAGCTGGGCAGTTCTTCTGCTGGTCTTGATGATTATTTGTGTAACTGTACTCAGCCAGTGGGCTGACTGGAGGCTAGGCTTAGCTGGGAAACAGGGGCATCTGTGCCTTGCTCCCTGTCCAAGTTACCTCGAGGCCTCTCCCTTTCCACGTGGCCTCCCTAAGAGGCTTTTTACAGCAGGGAAACTAAGTTCTACATGGAAGCACAGGGCTCCTCAGAGTGCAAAAGCTGCCTGCCTTCTCAAGGCTTAAGCCTGGAACTGGCAGTGTAATTCCACCATATCTTATTGGTAAAAGCCATTCACAGTGCCATTCTAGAATCAAGGTGAGGGGACTACACAAGAAGTGAATACCGAGGGGCAGGTCATAGGGGGCTACCAATGTAGCAGTCTACTCCAGAGATGCAGTGAGATGTTTATATGGACTGCCAGGTGCTTGATTCACTCTGACCTGTTTGGGGGCCACCTTCCTTGCTCTTCTCACACTCTCAGAGAGAAATAAATATGAATAGTTTGCCCGTTAGTCAGAGCCTTCAAGAGCTCTAGGTAGGTGTAGGACAAGTTTATCCCTATTATTCTTATTTCTGCTTAGCGTGCTGAGGATGGTGCATCCCTGTTGAGGTTGCCAGAAGGTCTGCAAGAAGCAGCAGGTTAGGAGGCCTGGGTTTCACTATGCCGATGTGAGGCAATTAAAGGACCCAACTCTTCTCTTCCAGGTAACACTTCTTGGGGAGTGAGTGCCTATGTCAGGGTTTCTGCTCCGGGCAGGAATTACAGAGATCACCAAAGTACAGCACCCGGCTCAAAGGAACTGACCCTTCTCAATACGGAACCTTCCCACCCAGGCTCCCTTAAAGTTTAAACGAGTTTCAGGATTGGTCTTTCCCTCCTTTCCTCTCTACCATCTCTCTATTGCGTCTCTGCCCCCTGCACTGATCTAGTTTCCCAGTCAGCTTCCCTCCTGGGTCGTGAGGCTCCCTAGGGCAGGGCGAGGCTGGTCACTCTTCTTGAACACACGGATGGCAAAGGGTGCACTCTCCGGCTGGGTGGTCCAGCTGGCACTCCGGGGAGACCAACCTACCCACCTCCACTTCAGAGCAGTTCCAATCCTGTTGGCTTCCACGTCCCCCAGACATTCCCTTCCCTCTTCTCTCCTCTCCCCAACCACCTTAAAAGAGCACCTGAGTTGCCTCCGGGCTCTGGCTCTGCTGCTGGCTTCTCTCCCTTTTTTCTCCCCGCCTCCTCCATCACTGTGGGCACTATTTGGGCATTTGACTCCTGGCTCCTTCTCTCTCTTTTTCTCCCCACCCCGCCCCTCGTCGCCGCCAGTGCCGGCGCGTCCTGCCTCCGCTCTACGGCTTTAAGCCCGTTCCCCGCCGCTGCGCCACTCCCAGCGCTCCGCTGCTCGTTGCCGCCTCTCCCGCTCCTCCCGCTCCTCCTCTCTAGGTCCTCCTCCTCCTCCTCGCCGCCGTCAGCCCAGCGCGCGCTCTGCTTCTCGCAGCCTCCGCGGACCAGCAGCCATGGCCGACATCAAGACGGGCATCTTCGCTAAGAACGTCCAGAAACGACTCAACCGCGCGCAGGAAAAGGTCAGAAGCTGGCGGCGAGGCAGGTGGCGGGGACAAGGCGGTTAGGGGAGAGGAGGAAGCTGGGCGACAGCGGTGCGGAGCCGGGCCGGGATCTCGGGGACGCCGTACCCTCCACCGCGGCGACTGCAGCAAGGCTGCACCAGCGCGGCGGGCGGGGAGCGCGCCGGGAGGCGAGATGCCAGGGGCGCGCGGGCCGGTCCCCGGAGGCGCGGAGTCTGGGGGCCTGCCGCTCCCGCACCCCCAGCGCGGCTGGCAGCTCTGCCTGCTTTTCGGGCCGGCGCCGGGCACGAGCAGTCGCAGGTGCGGTGAGTCGCCTGCTGTCCCCGAGCTGAGCGCATCTCCCTTCCGGCGCCCGCTCTCCGCTCGCCCGCAGGCAGCTGGTAGGGACGCGCCTGCAGGTCGGGGCGGGAGATTGCGGCAGCTGTATTTCCTCCGGGGGGATTTCTTGGCTACAGGAGAGCAGCAGACAGGAACATTTTAGCACAGAAGATACCCCCAACATCTGTTTTGATCCATCGGACTGATCGCGAAAAACCAGCAGCTTTAATTCAGAGCCTTGGAGAGAATCCCGGAGTTCAAAACAGATCTACATACACACTTTTTCCTGTCCTTTTTGGTCTCTCTACGTGTGTCCCTTTTGACGCCAATGCCCTTCTCTGAAAGGTCAAAAATAAATATGACCAGAACCCAACAATTCTCTGCACATTTGTGCACGAAGGAAGGTGTTTTATTGTATTATTATTATTATTTTTTAATCCAAATTGCACGGTTGGGTTCCGTGTTGTTTTACAAGCCTCTCAGTAAATTGGCCAATGTTATTTATTTTTCTCACCCAAAGATGTGCACAAATGGATCCCAGATCCATACCGCACAACCCCAAACAGTTGGAGACATTGTATCGGGCACGGGGCTGGCCTGGCTGCCCTGCGACTGTTCGTCATCAAGATCTCGCAGGCACTGAGGTGCTCATTTGTGTCTGAGCAAAGGACATTATATGGTTGTTTGAGCACTGTACTTGAAAATTAACACCAGCTAATGAGCTTCATGATTTGTATCAGTGGAACTGTGTTCTGTCTTTCACGTGGCAAGATTTTCCATCTCTGGGTTATTGGGAGTTTAGCATTTTCCTATTTTACTGGAAGTCAGATTTGTCACATTCATTGTGACAGTGAATTTTCCTCTTCAGACCTAGGCTCAGGCTGCCCCTCACTTCCAGCTGACCTGAAGAACTCAGCAGAAGGGGGCTCGGGGGCCTTTGCCTGTCCACAGGCCCAGAGGTGTGGTGGCTGCCTCTGGTCCCTCCCTCTACCCATGCACAGTCTGGATGCATTAAGAGGATTGTATTTCTTTTAATATCTACCCAAGCTCATCCTGAAACAATGTGATCCTCTCCTGCTGCTCCTTCAGCAGCTGAATTAGCAAGGCTTCCTGCCCTGTTCCAGTCCCTAGTTACATGTCCAGAAAGTAGCCAGAATCTATTGGGATATGAGCAAGGTTATGACATAATTTTTTCATACCTCATTTTACGCACTTGTAGGTGTGCCTCCTCCCCTGCAAGCAATTACTTGAATCTTTGGTCTGAAGTCTGAAGCTTTTCATTAAATCCACTTTCCATCTGTGAAGGAATTTAGTGATGTAGTCTGCCTTTTCACATATTATTTCTTAATCTAGGTCACCAGCTGTTAATATGCCAAAAATAAAGGAAAAGACAATGTAATCTGTCTTACAGAACATTCAAGCCCTTATGAATTGTTGAAAACTCACTTTTTCATTATTAAGGTCAGATGTATATTATGATTGCAGTTGTGGTTGATAGTTACTCTTCTGTGAGAATGGGGGTCTAAGAAAGCCTTGTGCAGGTCTTCAACTGACCTGCTTTCTTCCATTGGGAAAGTTGCTGATGAAGAATTCCTGTAGCATCAAGTTTAGGGGATTAAGACACTAAGAGGCTGAGAGTATGGGTTTATGCCCCTGGGTGGGTTCTTTGTCCTTCCTGAGCCTGCAACACAAGGGCAAAGGGCACGTGGGAATCCAGGTAAGGCAGCCCAGCCAAGTCCAAGGAAAGCCACTGAGAATGGAAAGCAGAGTATACTGCAGGCTTCATTAGACATCTCTTCTAGTGATTTCTTCTTTTTGCATCTTTGATCTCTTCCTCTTCTCACAATAACTATGCACCACTTATGTTTTTGAGACCTTTTGCTTTTTTTACGACCAAATTTTCTCAAAAGAGAGTCCACTCCCTTGACTTTCTTATGACCTGTGATCTGCCTAACAACTCATATGCATTTTGGCTCCAAATGCACCACTGAAACTATTCTGAGAGGTGACTTATGGCTTTTTATGAGTTTAAAATACATTTTTTTCTTATTGAAAGTCCATAAAGGTACATTAGAGACAGAATGAAATACACACATAATATAAAAAATCCCAACAAATTAGGTCACTCATAATTTCACCACCCAGAGATTTCGCTATCATTTGATGTGTGTCATAGTAGATCTTTTTCCATATGTATGTATTTATACAACTAAAATGCTGGCTTGTACTACAGTAGTCCCTGGTTTTGCTTTCTGTGGTTTCGGTTACCCACGGTCAACTGTGGTCTGAAAATATTAAATGGAAAATCCAGAAATACACAATTCATAAGTTTTATATTGCATACCGTTCTGGGTATCGTGATGAAATTGCACCATCCCACTCCATCTGCCCTTGATATGAATTATCCATTTGTTGAGCGCCTCCATGCTCTATATGCTCCCCCACCAGTTAGTCACTTAGTAGCCCTCTCAACTGTCATGGCTTCGCAGTGCTTGTTTTCAAGTAACCTTTATCATCAAAAGGTCCATAGTAGCTTAACACCATGTTAGGACACCGCCATTCACCTCACTTCATCTCATCACTTAGGCATTGCATCATCTCACATCACAGAGTCAGGGTGAGTACAGCACAATAAGATATTCTGAGAGACACCACATTCAATTAACTTTTATTATAGCATATTGTTATAATTATATATATATAATTATATATAATCGATTTTGTGATGAGTTATTGTTGTTAATCTCTTACTGCGCATAATTTATAAATTAAACTTTATCATAGGTATGTATGCATAGGAAAATAAATGTAGTATCTGTAGGGTTCACTACTATCTGCAGTTTCAGGCATCCACTGGAGGTCTTGGAAAGTAAAGCTCACAGATAAGAGGGGGAATACTATATATGATTTTGTAATCTGTTTATTTCATTTAATAATCATGAACATTCTTCAATACATATATATTTTCTATCAGCATTTTAAATGACTAAACAGTTGGAATGTATGGATATTATCGAATCCTCTATATTTTGGACAGTTTTTAATGTTCCTGTTTATAAATATAAATTAATGAGAAAAATTACAGGGAAAATATTCACAAACACCCTTAAGTATCTCCTTAGGTAAATTCCTAGAAGAAGAATTACTGTTTCAAAGGTATGCTTATTTTTATTGTAGTTAGATTGCCTTTCAGAAAAATTGAGTTAATTTACATTCTCACCAGCAGTCAATGAGACACTTACCAACATCGGATAATAAAATTTAAAACAATCTTTAGCTATATCATTGGAAAAAGCTAATTTCTATTTATTTCATTAGTTTGAATTTTAGAAATAACATTATTTTTTGCATTTTTATTTTTTCATTTATCAATTATGTGTTTATATATTTGCCCGTTTTGTGTTGCATCTCCATCTTGTAATTTATAAGGACAAAAACCATATCAATCCTTTAGATTGAAAACATTCTTTCTTCCTTTTCTATATACTTCTTAATATTTTTGATGATTTTTTATGATATAGAGAATGTTTATGTTTTATGCATATTTGCTTAAATCTATTGAATGATTTTGTATGTTTTCTCTTTTGTATGCTGAATTAGTCAACACACAGAAGAGAAAACTTGTAAGTATCAGAAAATTAAATTCAAACTGGCTTAAGGAAAAAGGGAATTTAATTGCTAAAAATAAAAATATGGTTTAGCACATGTAAATTTAAATGAGATTTTAATATGTAAATATATATATTAAGCTATATACATGTTTTTATACATATGTATCTGTAAAAATATATGCATAAGTATGCATGTGTATTATATGTATATCAACTCATTTGATTCTATAAGGTAGGTACTATTACCATCCTATTTTATAGATAAGGAAGAGATTAAATAATATGCCCAAGGTCACACAGTAAGAAGTAAAGCCAGAGTTTGAACCCAGGAAGTCTAATGCTTGGGTTCCTTTACACAGTACTGCCTCTTATACTTATGAAAAGAATAGGGGTAGACAAACTTCAGACCTGCATGGAACCAGGGGCTTCACCAGAGATATCAGGGCTCAGGTGCCTTCTCTGCTATGCATCCTGTCAACCGCATTCTTGGACAAGTTCTTTCTTAATGGCAAGACAGCTGCCAGCAGTTCTAGGTAATAGAATGTCTCTACAGAGAACTTTTCTCAATATAGCCCTCATTGCCCCTTGTGCCTGTCCCTGGAAGAAAAAAGTTCTCTCTGGACAAGGGCCAGGACCATGGGTTAGATTAAGTTTGACTCATAAGCTACTATTGAAGCTGGGCTGGAGAAATTCCTCCTGGGTCCTATGGATTGATGGTAGAGGAGGGAGGAAATTTAGAATACAGAAGGGGGAATGGATGCTGCACTGGCAAAATAAAAGGTGTCACTGAGGCATACTTAAAAAAACCTCTGCCTCATGTTTAAATAAATAATTGCATATTTAATAATTTAATATTTCTTTAAAAATTTCCCATTAAATTAATATATGCATAGTTAAATATCAGTAAAAGGCTGTTTATGAAAAATGACAATTCCCTATCCTCTTTCTCCTCAGCTTCCAGTCTTGTTTCCTAGAGGCAGCTATTACTAACCATAATATTCTCAAAAATATGCTTATATAACTACTTCTTGATCTATCCTTTCAAGTTCGGTAAAGATTAGGTAAAGATTT